ACCGTGCGCTCACGTGCATCAAGCACGTTGAGTGCATTATGAAGGGGTTAAGTACATTTTTGGCCATTTTTATTAACAGCTAAAGAAGATAGTTTATGGTATAACTTATGTTTAATTGCGATGCCCTGTATAGCGTCTATATATAGTTAAATCTGAAACATTTGTATCAAAAAAGTAAAAGCGGAATGTGCCAAAGTAGTTTATATGTGTCAGTCTATGAAACATTTGCTGGTATGTGACCATCCTTGAAATATCTGCTTTAGTTCATTCATAAAAAAGTTGTTTACGTTAGAAAATAGTTCCTTTGCACGTGGGGTACAGAATGAAGGTGTTCAATATCGTGGAAAGATGAGCATATAATAACACACACACACACACACACACACACACACACACATATATGTGTGTGTGTGTGTGTGATATGACAAAAATATAGCAGTATGTTGTTCGCTAACTAAAGATGGATGCAATCTGTGAAAATATCATATATCATTATGACTATATTTTAATTATATTTAATGTTAAAACAAATTACTTCGCTATACAAAATGTATTTTTTTCTCTCATACAACGTAACAACATTTACGTGGAGAGGTGATTAGACAGAAAAACAGATCACCGTACTGCCTACTGGAATGGTGACAATTTACATGATCGTTTTCCCAAACAACCGTTGGAAAATTGCAAGGACAATCATTGGTGTCTTTAAAGTTTAATTTAACCTTATATCGGGTTTTTGCTGAATTATCAGGCTGATGAAAATAATTCTACACCATTTACACAACTGGTATTGACACTTGGCAGAGCGTGTAAACTGCGCAACTGGCACTGCGTGTAATATTTTCAATGGATGCTAGGCGTTTATATGAGAGGCTTCACCTACGCAATAACCCGGATGTTGTATCTAAGAGTGTTGTACGTCACGCCGGATACATGAATACAGCTTGACCTTACTCCAGATGTGCACCTTTCATAAAAGTGCTAGCTCCACTTGCTCATTTTCACATCCTGAACTGGTAAATTGTACAAAAAAAAAAAAAAAAAAAAAAAAAAAAAAAAAGCTGATAACTTTTTTTTTACATTCTGTATATCCAATATCCAAAGAAATGTCAGCCACATTACATGAAAGGCTACGGCATCGTAGCTAAGAGGTATGCCAACATTCTCTCCGCTCTGAATGTTTTAAATGCAAACAACTTAACCTTACATACATCACTCTTTCAAAAATACATAACTGGCGAGCGCCACCTTAACAGTCTTGAGTTTGGAACACTCTACTTCTAAAATTAGCACCATTCATTGGTGCGGAATTGAAAGTACATGTTTCAAACACATGCAGGTCCAGAAAATACCGCGGCTCTTATCCTTTCCCATACACAGAAGCGATCATCCAGGTTTCAACTGTATTGATAAATATATTTTGATAATGTGCACTCAGAAATTTTTAAGTTATTGAATTTTTAATATCATGGTGTTTGCATAGGTTTACTATGGGAACTGAATTAGTACTGTGATTCCGAAATGAATTATCTCGCGCAGGCGATACGTAAAAAAAAACAAAACAAACAAAAAAAAAAAAAAAAAACAAAACAAACAAACAAACAAACAAACAAACAAACCAATCTAGCTTGCTTCCCTACAATTTAAGCTACCGCCAGCTAGATTTTAAATGGATAAATGGACCAGTCTAGGAACGTCCTTCCTTTCTACTTTCGATTTGTTGGTTATTATTTAGGATTGGTGATGAGGTATGACTTTTTAAAAAGTATTTTCCTAATGTTTATCCGTTTCACTATGGTATTAAATATTAAATAAAGATTTTGATTTTTATTTCCTTTTACTCCTGAGGTGGAAGATTTAGTTTCGCGTGAACAGATTTTCTGTTTTCCTAGGCTGAAAGAATAGTCTCATTGTTTCCACATTGGCCCAACGATTGGGAAAACCGGGCTAATTTGTATATTATACGCAATTCTTACCAGGAAGTAATTGTTTGGACGATGAAAACATGCCATATTCATATATGTTAGAGTTGAAAAAGATGAGGATGTATTTGCTTTGATAAGGCGAATTTATTAGTTTGGATAACAGGTTGATTCGGACCATTACTGTTTCTGAACTTTTAAGGTAAATTAAATCGCCAAATCTATGTTGATACTAATTTGACATATCGTCAGTCAGCATAAACACAGACTTAGGAGTAATTTTTTTCGACCTAATTCGGAGCAGGTAAGTTGGGTCAAATTATTTTCTTTATTATTGATGCTTTATTTTTTTATAGTTTGATTTTGTTGTTTATATATGTAATTCTTTTTATAGTAACCAGTTATTGTTGTCTCCCATTGAGGTAGCGCCTCATTAAAGGCATTACATGACTGTCTTTTCTGCATGGCACATCACAATATGTAATATTGTTTTAGTCACGTTCATTATGCATATATAATAACAAAAGTTCAGTTACCTACAGAGAAATCTTAAAATAATAATACTGTATTGCTTTAAGATCAATTTTTAACACTTTGATTCTCATGAAGATTACATTTTATATCCAGGTAACTTCTGTTGCAAAATACCTGTATGCAAAATTCTTCAGTATTTTGAATGATGTGAGTTTCAGTAGATTAATTAAATAGAGTTGCATTAAGTGAACTTAATATAACAATATTGAATTCATTATATAAAATGTAAATATGATTTTTCTTCTTCAAAAAGTTTGTACTTCTTGTAATCATGTAATCTACCACATACAAGGCTTTTGTGATTTATAATACTGACAACCTCTTACCATGCTTTTGCAGCTTTGTGTCATTGGTTCTGACTACTTGCTTATAAGTCATCCAACTGCACAGATGCAGATCTGCCATTGCATAATGTGTTAGCAGATCTTGATCTATGCAGTTTATTAGGAGTATTCATTACAACAAATAACATTGAGTCTGATTTGCCTGCACATTATGTAATAACTAGGCCAGTTTTGTTTGTTTTATAAATAAGTATATATGACATACTGCAAACAAAAATCCCTGAAAATTGTACATGTACCATTAAAACAACTCAAATTCTTGTAAATTACCAATTGTAAGATGAAATTTGATGTTTTCAGCTAAAATTCTTCAGCACATATTTTGTTATTTTGTTAATAAAGAACAGAGAAAGTAGAACACATTTTCATGTAACTGTTCAGCACATTTCATTGATTAATGTAGATTGAATGGTGAATATGACTTTGTTTCTTATTTTCATGTGCTAAATAATGACTGATGACTATAAATTCATCACTGGTCTCGCAAATATAAAAGTCTTGAATTGAAACTCTCATTATATGCATAGTAATTTTGCCATGGGTGAATCACAGTTTGCAATTGCTTTATACCAACACTTTAAAATGATATATATTTTAATTTATGTGGAATAAATATGTAGAATCACATAAATGAAGTTAAACATAACAATTTTACATATACATGACATTGTATATGGATTCATGAAGGATTGGTTCCTTGAAGAAATGAGCTGTGGTTTTTATAAGAAGACTTCTTACGATATCTACTTGGTCATATATGAAAATGGTGCTGCTTGCAACTCCAGTATTGCTACCACTGCTGCCATCTTGAGAATCTTGTTATCTCTACTCCTTCTGATTGGATGGTCACATCAACATACTAAAAGACATCTTGTGAATCCTAAATTAAATCAGATGGGCAAGCCCGGCCCTAGAGCAAGGCAAACAAGGCAACTGTCATGGGCCCCATGCTTGTCCACAATGTAGTTGTTTAGCTTGGGACCCATTGCTAATTACTTGCTGCCTTGGGCCCTACACATCCTAGGGCCAGGCATGAAGATGGGCACCACAACTTTAAACTTGTTATGGATACATCTCCAAAATGAATGATCACATTAACATGGCTTTTGTTCTTATGATGTCTAGTTGGTTGTAAATGAAAATGGTGCCATTCTGACCTCTAATATGGTCACCACATTGGCCATATGGAAAATCTTGCTATTATTACTTCTTCTAGATGGGTAGTGATATCAACATTGTGCTTTCACCAGAACATGTCTAGTTGGTCCTAAATGACAATTATGCCACTGAAACATCCAATATGGTCACCATGTCAGCCATCTTAAAAATCTTGTTATTGCTATTTCTTCTGATATGATCATACCCACTATATCAACGGTCAGTTTGTACTGAAAGACTTCATTATATTAGTTTGGACATGGGTGAAAATGGCACCAATCTGACCTCCAATATGGCTGCCACAATATTATCACTACTATTTTTAGATTGCTGGTAATATAAACATGACACTTTCTAAAGAATATTACTTTTGATGTTAAGTTGGTCCTAAATGGAAATCGTGCACAGCTGATATCCAGTATGGTCACCATGGCAGCCATTTTGGAAATATTGTCATAGCTACTCCTTCAAAGTAGAAAGTCAATATGGGGTTTTCACCAGAGGACCACTTAAAATGTCTTGTTGGTCCTAAATTAAAATGATGCTGATCTGACACCAAATATGGTTTCAGTGGTGGCCATCATGAAAATCTTGTTATTGATGCTCCTCTTAAATGTAAATTGGCCTTGACTTGGAGTTCTTACCAGAAGAATTATTTGATCCTATATGATATTGATGAAAATTGACACTCAATATGGCCATCATAGTAACTTTCTTGAAATTATTGCAATATCTACTCTCAAACTGATGGCTGTGTCAACATGGAGTTTTCACCAATATACTAAATATGATACCTAGTTGGTCCTAAACAAAAATAGTGTCAATTGTACATCCAGTATGGCTGCCAAATATCCAAAAATTCAGTATGCTTTCACCAAATCTTACTGTTTTGCTTCTACTGAATGGACAGTCATATTGACATAATGTTTTAACCAAAAGACTTAAAATTTTGTCTTCTTGCTCCTAAATCTGACATCTAATATCTCCTACGGCAGCTAATTTGAATATCTTCTTATTGCTGAGAAATATCATCAACCGCTCTGGTGTCCTAGTGGTTAGAGCATCTGCCTCAAATGCAGGAGGTTGCGGGTTCGATCCCCAGCAGAATCATACTAAAGACTTGCAGCTACCTCACTTAGCACTCAGCATTAAGACGTTAGTGTTAGGACTGATCAGACTGGTGTCAGGATATTGTGACTGGGTGGGACACCTAGCCAGATGTCAGCGGCATGATGCCACAGTGCTAGACATTACTATAAACTGTCACACTGCAGACATCGTAGTGATATGGCTGAAAATTTTTTAAAAACTACATTAAATATCTAAATCACACATCACAAATATCATCAACATGTTTCAAAACTTGGCAGTTACAAGATGAAGGAATGGTCTTATCTTGAATTCTTGGCAATTTTTATTGCTCATTAGAGCTTTGGTCCCTTCAAAGGATTTTTGCTATTGCTGTTATTGTTATTATTATTAGTAGTAGTAATAGTAGTAGTAGTAGTAGTATTCATTGTAGTATTGGTTTTGTATTCAGATCATACCTTTGTACATGTTTAAATAAACATTGACAATATTAATGCTTATAGATTTTTTGCATTTTTTCAGCATTCAAACTTTTCATGGTTAATATTCTCCAGATTATATGAGCACAATTCTAGATGAAAGTTTTAAAAGTGTAACAGTCTCTAACTTTACTTGAAATAAAATTAGAATTTTTGGAATTATTGAATCTTCTTCTGTGTTTTGGTATTTGCATGTACAACTTAAATTAATGTCAGGTATCATAATAGATTTGTGATATTTAGCTCGAGTTTGAAGAATATAGTGTCAGGTTATTTTGACAGATGCATTGAAAGTTTGAGCTGCAATCTTGGGTTCTAATCTGCACTGAAAACTCTTTCATAAAGCAGGCAGTTCTCTGTAAATAAAGTATATATATGCATCCATGGTAAGTCTGAGATAAAATAGAATGTGATCCAGACATGACTTGCTTTTAAAAGCCACTAGCCTGTCAGTTAAAAAAAGAAGTATCCTCTTTTTAATTACAGTTAACATAGTAATAGTAAAACAGGACATATCAATTTGAATAAGATGTCTGGAAAAACAACTCAATGGCCATCTTCACATGACAAAGGGAAAGCTATCGAAGATGCAGAACCTGTATATGAGTCCATCAAAGGTAAATCTTTTCAGAACATTAGCAAACAAAAAACCATTTCACCATAAAAATGATTTCATTAAAGGTAAATCTCCATGTTATTCAGTTGATAAATAAGAAATTCTCCCCCCACCCCATGCAAGACACACACGTCTGTTGAAATCCAAGTTGTTTTATTTCTTTTATCAGGCACTGAAACATAAGTTTAATCACTTCTTCCATGTCATTTCATTGACCCATTAAAAGATTTTGTTTGAAGATCTGTGATAACATCAAAAATGTTTTAAACTCTGAAATAAGGGAGATCAGGTTTTCAAATACTGGACAGATTTTTGTACATAATTGCATATTACATAAATGAGAGAATTTGAGATGTTTAAATGTAAAGTCCACCCATTTTTAAAGCAAAAGAGTCATTGAGGTATAAAAATATTATATAACATTAACTTAGTAAAATTCTGGATATTCTGTCTGTAATAGCCCAGTGTTCAATGCAGGAGATATAGTAAATCGGAGACAGACAAAAAAAAAAAAAATTATGTAGTCCTAAGTCATGTAAAGGAATATGTTGTGAGGATAGCTGTGTATATTATTGTAATAAAATGTTTTGTTGAGACATAGCAGTCTACATTATTGTGATAAAACTTGTTTTTGAGACATGGCTGTGTATATTATTGTTTTTGTTTGTGATAGACATTTTGTATGAAGACTTAAGTGTTTTACAAGAATTATGCAGAAAGGTACATCATGGCATAGTTCACACATACTGCACTGTGCAGGTTTTTGCATGATAAATACATAGTACTCTATACAGATTGGTGATATACCTATAGCACAATTCATGCAATGTACTCTTTGCATATTTGGGAATGATAAATACATAATACTCAGCTTAAGTAGATACATTATGCCTTAGTACTCTAAACCGTATGTGCATCATGGCATGAATCAGACACAGTAATCTATGCAGATGGGCATCTATGGCATGATTCAGACAGTACTTAATGTAATTGTGCATTTTGTGGCATGATTCAGATAAAGTACTCTATGCAGTTGGGCATTTCATGGCATGATTCAGACACAGTACTCTATGCAGTTGGGCATTTCATGGCATGATTTAGATAGTACTCTATGCAGTTGGGCATTTCATGGCATGATTCAGACACATTACTACTCTATGCAGTTGGGCATTTCATGGCATAATTCAGACACATTACCCTATGCAGTTGGGCATTTCATTGCGTGATTCACACATTGTTCAATGTACTGCACAGAGAGAGAGAGAGAGAGAGAGATGAAAAATAGTATTACATTCTGTATTACTTCATTAAAATTTGTGTTGAAAAGACATAATTGAATCAAAAGTAGACATAATATAAAATTTTTTTGTGTTTGTATAATATGTGTACATTCCAAAAGTCGTTCTGATGATGATGTTGCAAGGTTTAACAAACATTTTGTCTGGATTTTGCTACTATTTCATAATTTTGTGATCCTAGGTTCAGTTCAGTTCCATATCATATGCAGAATGAATTAGCCATTCAGTCACAGTTTATGGTTTACCCAAATGTTTTTTCCTAAAATTCCACCTTGGTTTCAAGGAGTATTGTGTGTAATTAGTTGTTTATTTGAAGTCGTTGATATCAAAATGTAGACCCAGATCTGAGAGTGCACCCTATGATTACAGAGATACAGGTAGATTTATGCAGTTCAGTCAGTTTCAGCACATTTTTATCTACAGGAATGGTAAATAACCAACATGATGTTGGTATATGCTGTTGACAGTTGGAACACATTACACACACTTACAGTTAGTACTCACATGAGATGACAGATATGAGTCTATGTTCATGGTTGGTACATATTATACACTGTTACAGGAAATACCTGGTACTGTAAATACCTAACATGAGGCAGCATATCTGGCTCTGTGGTTTCCCAGTTGGTACACATTATAAATTGCTACGATAATTACTTGACATGCTATGACAGCTATGTCTCTGTGGTGTTTACAGTTGGTGTGATAAGTACCTGACATGAGATGGCAATGTGTGTCTGTGGTATTCACAGTTAATTCAGATTATACTCAGTAATGTAATTATGGTAAATTATCTGATATGCTTTATTTTTCAGATGAGCATCTGTCCAGAGAGATTGAGGTGAGGGAAATTCCTGGTAATGCAACAGAGGAACAGCTGTTAAACTTTTTTGAAAACCCCAGAAAAGGTGGAGGTTCAGTGGAAGAAATCCAGTACAATCAAGCCGCACACACTGCCATTGTGATATTTGAATCTCCTGAAAGTAAGGCTAATCTTAATTACATTTTTGATGAAACATTTTATAAACATATCTCATATTTTTGATTCTACATGTGCCATGTTTTGTAATGATGTGTAAGTAATTTTATCACATAATACAAAGCAAATAAGACACCCAGATGTTTTTTTTTTTTTAAAGTCTGTCACTGATCTTTTGACATGGTATTATATAACATCAGTAGTTTTCATCATGTGGGAAAAACAATATAGGTATCACATATGGTTTGCTCAGGGACAGATCCAGAATTGCTGTTTAGGGGGTATGTAAACAAGTTGGTGTGGGGTCTTTGGGATATAACCTGAAGTTGGAGCCCAAGGGGTAAAGAAACCCCTGGAAGTTTCTGCAGTTTAACTGTTTTCTGGGACTTAATTTTGATCATCTATCTGTAAAGAAAACTTATCTTAATATATTTTGGTTATTTTGGACTCATGTGGGTTTGGGAGAAGGGTGCCACATCTGCTGATACATACAAATGTTTGCTGGTGGATGAGGGTAGACTTTGAACTCAAAGGCATAGACTGAAGGTTTAAAGTCATTCCTGAATCCTTTTGAAATTATTTTAAAAATCAGCTTTCAGTTCATCACTAAAATTACCAAAACATATTTTCCTATTTATGTCATAAACTATTCTGTTCTTTTGCAAGTGATTGGCTTCTTAGGTTAATTCTAAAATTATTTCAAATTTGGAGCAGACATCTTTACCTGGTAGAACAGTTCCCATCATCTATATTTAAAGCACTTTCTTATATTTATTTGACTGATTTAATCTTTTTTGGGGAAAAATATTTTTTGAAATATGTGTACCTTAATGTTTAAGAATGATAGATCATTTCATGATGAACCATAGATGCCAAAGTGCCCTTTGTTTTCCCATCATTAGTGAATCCTATTGCACAAATATGAATCAAGTGTGTTCTCCCCTTCATCAATGCTCTCATGAGTGATGTACTGTGATACATTGCCATAATTTGAAGATTTATGAGATCTTTTATATGAACTTATTTTAAAAGGTTCTTTGATTTAGAAAATACGGAAAAAAAAAAAAAATTATGAAATGCTTACTTTTTAAGATACACTTATGAAAACTAGTAACAAGCAGTTGCATTTTAAAATGTATGCATTTAAGTATTACTTTAAGAACTTGTTGCTGATGAGAACTGAGAAGATGCTAACAAATAGATATATTATATTAACATATGCTGTTTAGAGCAAGTTTCTTATTACATGCAACTTGACATTGCATTGTATTCTGCATTATTTCTGTTATCACATATCCCTTCCAGAGATGGCACTGGCTTTAAAAATGTTGTCACCCAAAATTATTGCAAACCTCAATATTTTGTCACCAATTTTCAAAACACATGTTGCCATTTTCGTATCCATTTGATATCTCAACATTCTTGGGACTAAGGTGATATTATAGACATAAGCAGATGTTTAGAGAAGTAGGGAGGGTGCTAAAAATAAATTGAAATTTCACAAACAAATGACATTTTTAAGAGGCATGCTCAGATCGAGGCATGTGCAATTAAGATGGGATAATATGTGTTTGGTAAGGTATATGTGAGTACTATGTTGAATATGACATTTTCACCTTGTCCTCAATACATATTCATCTAATTTGTCA